GAAATGTTGGAAAAGACCGGAGAAACGAAGCGCGATAAACCAGCCGACGTTCCTTCCATCAAGTGTCCGTGTTAAATCGTTTTTAACATACTCGAATAACAAATAATACCATAGAAATAACGTAACTGCAGGAAATATACGCACTCGCAGGAAATTTAATGGTGCAAAAATATACAGAATCCACTTAATATCCAAAACTATCCAAAATATTCAAAGTAAAGTACTCGTTATAATAATCAGCGCACGAAATAAATCTCCCCTTAGGATTCATCTCCTTCTTTATACTGATAAACTCTGAATCCAACATAATCCAATTAAACCTTAATCTTCCGATAATCGAACAAAATTCCTATGGCAAAGAGTGAAAAAATCGCGCATCCGTCCAACTGTTTCACCCTTCTCCTTTCTACTTCGCATCTACCCTCCCTTCCTCTTGCTTCCATCTTGCTCTGTACCATTTTCCAAACATCGTCCATGCGTTATGCACGCTACGTGCGGCTACCAGCTACATGGCTAAGATCCAGAGAGTGTTCCTGCTATATTAAGACCGCCTTATATAACGTTCAGTCATATCCGCGCGGCTCCCTCTATGAACCTTTAATATGCTGAAACGTGGACGCGCGAGCGCCACTTCCTGCGACGCGGACCTCGCAACGTTGAAGCGCAAAAGTAGTCGCTTGAATTAGATTTTCCGAGAAACCTCGTTCGACCAGGTAGCACGGCCAGAGATTTCCGCTATGGCGGAAGACATGGAACGACTTCCGGTTGAACCGTCAAAGATAGCTGTCGCGCGGCAGACAGCTGATTGCTGCTGTTGAAAGCGAAACGCCCCTCGTGTGTTCTCAAACGCCGCGTCGTACTTGCGGTGTGGAATCTGGAGAAATAGGAAGAGATACGAGGAAGTACGAACGCAGAGTTAGCCAGGAAAATCGTGTAACAGTCGATGGTTAGGGTAGCATCGCTTGATGAAAATTGAAGTATGCTTCGTGGGCGTTTCTGGTAGGCTACGAGGCGAGTAAGATGATAGAAACCATTCGAATTTAAATTGATCAAAGGGAAGAGCATTCTATAAACGCGATTAATCGATTTTTTAACAACTGCTCGACTACGCGCTTTCTTTCCAGTTTACAAAAAGATAGCGCGAGAAATATAAATACAAACGCGAAGTACATTTCAGTCTACACAATGTCCGTAATATCGTTACCTTTTTTTACTTTCTAATTTACAGAGTCAGCGAACATGATGTCCAGCAATGTGTGGTACGTTCGATGTTACGTAGGACAGGATATTAGAGAAAATAATTAAAATTGTCGTAGAATTAATTATACATTGATTTATATCATTCTTTTAATTGCCCTTTATAGTGGACCTTTGCAAAGAATCGCAATCTCATAATGCGATCAATTACCTCTTCCTCAAAAGATATCACAGCTTGTTGAGTTTGTACAATTACAAAAATCAATTGCCGATCTCCATAGTTGATTTCGTTACACAGCGCGACGATGACACGATAATCGTCTAATATACGAGCGAAGGCGAGTGTAAGGTGTCGGTCGTATTTTAACTTGACAATTCCGCTAGTGGCAAACCGGTGTCCAAACAATTAGCGGTCAACCAAGTCCGTTAATTTGTGCGTCTGACGTAACACTAGTTCAACTCTAAGATTCTTTTCACGATCGAACAATTTCTCGCCTCCGTCTTCGTTAAGAAACTCGTAACGGCGTTAACGGCGATTGTTTCTGGCCGTATAATTAAACGTGGATCCGTATCTATTTATCGTTGGAAGTTAATTAGCTGTTGCGTTACTAATAACCAATGCCCATCGTGAACAAACCGGTAGGCTGTTAGATGTTCAACCCTTAAAGCTTGTAATAAGTGAAACTTCATTTCATATAAATTTTGTTTCTTCGTTATTATTTTAGGTAGGTTTTTATTTACCAGGCAACAATGTTTCAGTTGACGAGAATTAGATTCAGGCGTTATTTGCTTGTGTTTTTAGGCTGATTAGTAAATGTTAAAATCGTCGGTATTGTTTGTAGAATTAGCTGTAATGCGCAGAATTTAGCCGATTTAATGAGAATATGGTAATTAGGTCGGCGATTTGCTTCGAACGTAAACCGAGTGCTTTCAAGATTCGGATCGATACATTTGACACGCAGTTTGTTTGTAAGAAACTCGTTACGTTAATAGATGGAGATAATCGAATAGAAAGAAACGATATTTTAATAATTTCCTCGTAAACATAGATGTAAGTGAATATTCTGCAAGTAGTTAATTTGAAATTTAATATTAGGGTTCAGAGTTTTCAATATCTACAAAATCAATTGAAAAAAAAAAAAACTCGAAATCGACTCAACGTATGTAGCTCGAGTTTCAAGATGTTTCTGACAGTTCGTCTTTTACTGACAACGGCAAGATTTTTTAAGAGATTAGCGAACGTCAAACACACGCAGAGAATTCCCCTCTCTGGCTTTCCTCGAAGCTTGGAATTGTTTGTTCTTTCCCGATTCCCAGATACGCGTCTCCTTGCAGCCGCGACGCTCAGTTTGTTTGAGTTGGCGCCGCGGCGCACACTGCCGCAGAAATTGCAAATCCGTTCGGCCAACCGCGGCATCGTCCGGAAAGAAAATATCCAGATAGGTCTGTTTCGAACGTCTTCTCTGTTGCAACGATCGCTTTCGTTATCGGATTTTCCCATAAAATTACGTGTATATCGAATGAAAATTAGTTAAAAAGTTTATTCATCGATAATTTGTGAAATTTTAGCGATCATTTCGCTTGCGTAAAATATATAAATCAGATAATATAAATAATAAACAGCAAGATAAAAATAGAGTAAAATAGAAATATAAATAGGAGAAATTATGTTAAACGATTTGTTTGTACGATAAGTATAATTATTCTCTATAGTTAAATTAGTGATTTCTTATTGCATGTAAGAGTGACTACATAATTCTATCCTAATATTTAACAATTAATAACAAAATAAACGATCGTGATGAAGGTTTCTATAAAAATAATTGCGAGATCGCGGCGAACCTCCAGAAAACACGTTGTACCCTTTTTGAGATTAGAAATCAAACATTAAAAACGCAAGCTTTTCGTATCTTTCTACAGTAAATTAATATCCTAAATAATTAATAATTTTTAATGTTAAATACAGCCTTAAACTAAACACAACAACCAAATTAAGAAATCAATGATATATCAAGTTCTTTCAATCAACGAAATCATAAACGCTGTGAAACTCTTAGGCAACGGTCTAAATCGAAATTAAAAATTGCACGTTCAGAATGATTTTCTAAACATAAAGAGTTAACGATCAGGTTTCTCGATTTCAAAGTAGCTTCCACTGACACGAATAAATTCCTCTTTAAAACATACGAGAAAACCGAGCCACTTTATCGTTATCGGTTCTTCAAATCTTTAGAACGTATTCTAAAACTAATTTTACTAGTCCCGCTCAACTCTCAAACGATTATTGTATGGAAGTTGTGTTTGTAAATTGGTTTTATTTAAAGACACAACGACGAATGATAAAATCGCTGGACCAAGGGAGAGAGACGTAACGACAAGAACGAAGAAGTCATTAGTACGTGCAATTACGAATATCCACGAATATCCGTAGATATCTTCGTGATCGGATTTAACTATTGCAACCTGCAATTTGCGTTTACCATGCGGGAGAATTCGAAATAACACGTTGAATGCCACAGTGGCCATCGGTGAGCCACGTTACTAGATTTCTTTAGGATAGTAGCAAGTAAATGATAAATCTCATTCGAAATACTTTCAACAATGCGAATGATTTACGTAAAATTGCGAGAGGAGATTGTTGCAAATACGATATAATATTTTGCAAAAATTAAACGTTATACCGTTGTATATTTCGATCTATTGCAGCTCTCGAGAAAAAATATTCGTGTAACAGTTAATGGGTTAACGCGTAATCTCGAGACGATAATAAATATTCATATCGTAATGGTAATACGGAGAAAAGGATAAGCGTCATCGAGTTCTTGGAAGATTTGTTTCGGAAAAACTTGTGCTCGTTTGGTAGACTATAGAAGATTGATCTATCACCTGTCACGATCTTTGTTTGAGAACAAGGAGAAATATTTCGATTAATTTCATTGAAAGGCAACATAAATTTTGTAACATTGTATAAAGTTTCGAAAAGCTAATTGGCATTAAGACTATAATTAAAATCGTTTTAGTTAGTAGGTTAGCTAGTTGCGCGGACCCAGTCTTGCGACGGCAACCGTATTTGATCTACGGCGCATGTAAAACATCCGTATCTACGTTTCTTGCCATGTTCTTCGCATGTTATATCGAATGTATTAAAAGATACAAAAAAAAGCCAGATTTACTACGATTTTCACTTGAAATTATTTTAAATCACTTTGAAAGAATGCTGTGAATATATCGAAACTTGTACATCACGCAGTTACCGAAATGAAGATCAGAAGGAAGGGATGAAAAGTAAGGAGGGAATCGTGCAATAACAAATAAGGCAAAACCATGCAACTTTATGGCGTATACAGATCGAATTTTAATCTCACAGCAGATAAACCTAATATTACAATTAATTAAAAGAATAATACGTACTTCGAACTAAACAAGATTCCATTGACTGTTTAATCATTTCCTGAATTGCCAAAGAACCATTAACAAAACTATGAATTATCATAACAATCGCGTGACGTCTATTTTCCAATCAATTTTTCCGCCATACGTTACGCAAATCCTGACAATTAATTAAATTTACGCGTGTAAACACGAATCTGTAAAATAGATTCACCGTAAAATAGATGTTACAAATTTCAATTTCCAACGATTCGGATCAACGTTGCACCAAGATCGCGACGATCGACGAGTTTCGTTATCTGAAAAGATTACGACTCGGCGCGAGGATCGCTGAAGGATTTGAAACGAAGTTGAAAGTTGGAGCGCGTAAGTGATCGTTTCCGCAAGTCAGATTAAAAACCGTAAAATCGTACCTGTTTCGCTGGCCAAGATGAAACATGATCGAACGACTTATCACCGTGGAATGTCACTTGCCGTTGGTCGACTGGACAATTAGAAAATCCGTGAAAGTGGAAGCGAAGGTGGACGCCTTGATGCGAACTGACTGCGACGGTTTCATTCAAGAAGGCGTCGGCGGTCGTCGCGACGCCCCTCGCGCAAGCGCCACGGCGGTCATCTTTTTTTCTTTCTGCCGCCTTTCCACGCACGCGCACGCACACTCGCGCCGTGTCGCTTACCGATTTATTCGAATTAATTGAAATATACTCTCGATATTAATAGGTAGGGACCACCGCTTCCGTCGCGTTGCATCGCGTTGCGTCGTGTCGCATCTTCGAGAAAAACAGATCCGTGCGTTTCAATTAGCGATGGCATGGCGGCTCGTTTGAAGCGATGATTATAGAAATGAAACGCGGGGAAACTCTTACTATTTCTTTTATCCCCTTTTTGTTTTTTAAACACAAGCTTCAGTTCTTTCTTTGTATGTAGAACGTTCAGGTTGGTTATAGTTATAGTGTAGTATAGTATAGTTATATATGATAATAGATAGTAATAATAATAATAATAGTAATAGTAATAGTAATAGTAATAGTAATAGTAATAGTAATAGTAATAGTAATAGTAATAGTAATAGTAATAGTAATAGTAATAGTAATAGTAATAGTAATAGTAATAGTAATAGTAATAGTAATAGTAATAGTAATAGTAATAGTAATAGTAATAGTAATAGTAATAGTAATAGTAATAGTAATAGTAATAGTAATAGTAATAGTAATAGTAATAGTAATAGTAATAGTAATAGTAATAGTAATAGTAATAGTAATAGTAATAGTAATAGTAATAGTAATAGTAATAGTAATAGTAATAGTAATAGTAATAGTAATAGTAATAGTAATAGTAATAGTAATAGTAATAGTAATAGTAATAGTAATAGTAATAGTAATAGTAATAGTAATAGTAATAGTAATAGTAATAGTAATAGTAATAGTAATAGTAATAGTAATAGTAATAGTAATAGTAATAGTAATAGTAATAGTAATAGTAATAGTAATAGTAATAGTAATAGTAATAGTAATAGTAATAGTAATAGTAATAATAATAATAATAATAGTAGTAGTAATAGTAATAATAATAATAATAATAATAATAATATATATATAGTAGTATAGTATAGTTATAGTAGGTACATAAAAGGATATACAAAGCAATTTAGGTAGATATCGATGTTAAATTTAGTGGAAAAGTTAGTATAGTTCGTGTAGTTGTACAGATTAACTACGAATACTGAGAAGAGTTCACTATTTAATATCGTTGTCGGTATAGAACACTTTAGGATTATTTTACAAGTTTGTTTAATCATTTATGTTGTATATATTATACGTACGAAATAATATTTTTTAAGTATCTTGTGTAATTATTTATGTCACACGGATATGCCTGCACATATGCTTTATCATTTTTTAACTCGGTCTGTTTGTTTTCTTCGGTCCATTTTCTGTTTATTCTTTTCCACATTATTTTCCCGTTTACATTTCGCACGTTCTTTATCTGGCAATTCTTCTTTGTCTACATTCTACTTCGTACTTCGTATTTCCCAAATTATACGATTCACCTTGCCTCGTGTTTTACGCGTCATATTCTTTCATAATTTACGCTTCCCAAGCCAGTTGTTTCATTTTACATTACGCACGTTACATTTCTCATTTTCGATTTGCTGCTATTTCCATTACATTTCTCATTTCCCACTTCGTCTTCTTCTCGCCCAGTTTCTACCTCCAACTTCTGCTTACTTTTTCATCCTTTTCCCTACCTTTGTCTGCTATAGATCACACAGTTTCTACATTCGTGTCACATCCAAATCTTCACTTTCCTATCGAATCAAATTTGACTTTCTGTTCTACATAAACGACACAAGATGTTGTATCTGATAAATCGATAAAATATCCCACAAGTTAAGATTAATTTACACTATACGGCACGTATAGTCGACGGATGGTCGCGTAACGGAAACGTCGTGTAACAACAACGTCACGTACCAGCACCAGCACGACAAAGCATTAAAACATGCGTTTTAGGTGAAACCATTCACACAATCCGTCACCGACCGTCACGTACTGACATCGGCATGACAGAACATTGAAACATGCGTTTTGAATGAGACCGTTCACACTATCCGTCACCGATCGCTACGTGACGCTGCCGTTACGTGCCGATCCGTGCTGTATAGCGTACGTTTCCTTTTATAATATATATATTACACAAATATTCCAAATTCGCAAAATGCTACTCACAAGTAAAGGAATTGTCCTCGTCGATGGAAGGTCAGCACGAAACGTAGCATTAAAACCGGCATCGAAACCACCGTCAGATCACAGAATCGGAAATGTGTCGTTTAACAATCATCGTGAAAGTTTAAAATGGAAAATTTGTATATCAGAGTTGTCTCTGTATTGCTGCGAGTGGTTCATTTCAATTGCTAGTAACGAGGGCGATTATAGATCAAATTTGGAGAGAAAAAGAAAGTTCATGGTGGATGGAATGTAGAATGAGTCGAATGTGCCCAGAAACTTGTGCCGGTCAAAAATAGACGTGGAATGACACGGGGAAGCGGATACCGTAATATTTTAGTGTCACCGAAATAAAACTGGGAGCCATCTGGCCAATTATACGAATGCATAAATTCGAACTGAATACCAGGCAGGAAAACAAACTACATAGTAATGTTTCATTCTTGTTCACGACTTCCGATCGATCGATCCTGTCTACCTACAAGTCGCTGGCACGTTCAACTCGCATCGTATTTGACAACATCGGTGAAGTTAAAGGATTTGTTTGAGGAAATCGAGTGCACCGATTATACGCCTCGAACGTAGTTTCTATTCCGGGAATACGCATCGAGTAGAAAGAAACAAGCTGATCTACAATCTTGATTGTTTAAGGAGTTTAGAGGAAAGATATAAAGATAGCAAAATGTTTCAGAACGTTTAAAGAAATTGTAAAGAATAGAAAATTTTATACGCTTACAAATACGGAAACATAGTACGTTTTAGAGAGATTGCTATAACTGAGAAAATACTCGACGTCCATATAAAAGATGAAGTGATAGTTTAGAAGGGAAACCATTTTTATTCGAATTAAAATTGAAGTGTGCCACGTAATAAATTAATCCTTGAGAAAATGTACCGAAAGTTTCCTTTAATATATGCCAGACGTGGCAAAAATATATCAAAAGATGCAGAAATATGTGAAATGCATAAAAGATATCCAGGAACTACTAAAAAAAAAAATACACAAAATATTTGGAAATTTTTAATTTTCCATGAGATTATCAAAAATATTAATAACGTAGGAAGTATATTTATGTTCATACCGAAAACGTAATAACAGGACAGTTTGAAAAGAAAACAATTTCCTAGTTCTGCAATTTTGGCTGTTTTATTATTACGGAACATGTGTCATCGACTAACTAAATTCGTATGGAAAAGGAACACGAGAAATCGGAATATCGTAGCGGAGAGGAGTCGCAACGCTTGATCTGTTGAACGACACGCGAGGAATATTCTACTGGACGGTTGTGTTTAAACGTGTCTGATCCACCACCCTTTTCTACTTCGAATCGTATTTCGTGCTCGAAGACTACTGAAGAGGCTCGACGAGATCGGTCTGCAAATAAATCAGATACGCTAACGAGTCTCTGCTACATCTTGGATCATGCAACCTTGCACGAGATCTCTTTTTTTAAAATTAGTTCTATAATAAACTAGCATATTTCATTTCTACTCAAACGATCGTTAGTTTTCAATGTCTATCAATAGCGATCGTTTACTTAAAATAAAAATTCTAACGAAACAGTAAATATTGTTTGGTATCTTTTGAGACGAAAGAATGGTATTGCATATTCTTCGTGATAGTTTCTTTTACTCGAAACTTTACTGTAAAATTCGTTTTAATCGGCAAAATAACGGCTACGAGTGTATAATCCACTTCGTTTGGAATTTCACTGGATAATTTTATTAAAATTTCAAGAAATAATAATGGTAATAATTTGTTGGAAGAATTTCAATTGCTTACAATTCTAATGTTCTACGTGTGTATTTAAAGATGATGGACAGAAATACTAGTGATCTCAGGTGTCAAAAGTATTGTTTCTTTGTTACCAACAGCGGACAGTGTTTAATGAAGTGACGTAGAAAACCTCAAAAGTAGCAATTTCGAATAAATTTGCATTCATCGTCGCAACATTTGTACCTGCCACTTATCATAATACGTGGTAGACAATGTTACTTCGAGTTCTATACACATTCCAATGAAACTGTCTTCGTAAATTTGTTAACTCGCCGCTTCAACAAAGATATTTCTGTGCATTACATGTACCGACACTAAAAATCTTGCAAAATATTAAGCAAACAGGTTCAAACAAGTACTTGTAATCGTACTTAGTATTGCTGCAACTTAACGACGCTCGATGTTATTTAATAATAACGATATCAATATATTTCGCGTCATCGATTTTCTTACTATCGTTTAATCGCTTGTCAAAAAGGTATACAATCTTTGTACAAAACCCTTGTTTTGATTTGACATTACATTTTAGAAAAATAGGTATAATATCGTGTTATATTATACTAACGTGAAATATATTAGTTATTTGATAATGAATTAAATAAACAACTACCTTATTTCATTACTTTACTATTACAGATATTACAGACTATTTTACAGGAAAATCTTTAATTTTTGTATTTACGTGATAGAAGTCACCGATAGATTAAACTACTATTGGTATTGAAATCCAGTTATATAAAATATAGTAGAAAAGATACTTCAAACTAGTCATAGTAATCCATCGCAAGGAGTTGATGCAGCGAAAACATAATTCGCTAAAAACTTTTCTGGCGAAATTGTCACTCAATTTCCTCTTCTACTATGATTCACGGCTCCCTATTTTTACGATCTTTTATCTTGCTCGGTTGTTCCAGAATCACGTCGTATTCTTAACGCGAAAAGGGTTAGCCGGGTAAAGTGCGCTTCCGTTTGGGTGACGCGGCATTTCCGGCGCGCGCGCCCTCAACGTAAAGAGGTCAGTTGGTGCGCGAGTATCAGAAGAGTTGGAAAGAGCGCGCGCGATCCAAGTAGCGAGCAGAGGATCGCGTACACAAGGGTAAAGCAGGGAATGGCGTCTATTTCCGAACGAACGTCGCTCCAAATTTAAACAACACCACCCGCCTGCGGTAGCTTCCACTTCCTCCCATCGCATCGCATCACTTTCGTTAAGCTGCTACCCATCACGTCTCGCGTTCATTAAGCCGATTAACCTCTAAGAACTAGGCACTTCGTTTAGGACATTGGCCTCCTCATCCTTCGCTATATATTTTCCCCGTGTTGTACAAATGGTCGACAAAGGAAATTTAGTAGTTCGACCATCTAGAAAAAAATGGTTCGTGCATTTATAGATGCCATAACCTTGCTGCGTTTCTTTTTCGTCATTATCGAGTCAATCGTAATTGTTTAACGTTTAAACGTATCGCAAAATTGTGGAAAATATGAAAGAACTATTTATTATTACTAGACATAGGACCTTTTGTTTCAGTTTCATAGTAAAAATTTCCTTAAGACATTAAAAGTCTTTAAGTATATGTATTAAAGTACGAGTAAGCTTGTAGTATAAAAATACAAGATAGGCCTCTTTCAAGGAATTTAAGTATTTGGTATTCTTCGTTGCTTATTCTTCTTCTGTTGTATTGTATATAATAAGTTCGATACAATAACTTTTAATACTCTTTTCTATATATATTAAATTCAAGTATCAAGATGGAATAATTATACATTGCAATATACAAATATGATCTTAACGTTGCAACTTAGAGTTATATCGACAATATGCTACAGGTATTGGGTCGTCAAGGATGGTTGAAACTTTATCGTTATGAATTTAATGTTGCATTTTTACTATAAATTTTATTGTTAAAACTCATTATCATAAATATAAACGAATGTAATTAATGTTCTATTTTCTGGTGTATTTTTAATATATTAAAATTTACTAGTACATAAATCGTTAATTATTCCAGCAGCTTAAGCGGTCGAATCGCTAAATTTCGACTGTGGCCCAATGAACGTCGTTTTATTCACACCAATGATCTTTCATGCTGGAAATTTAGTGTTTCGACGATTGGTATTACATTCTCCTCGTATAATGTTTCACGACAGTATTTCTGCCTCCAAAGATTATTTTTATCGAACCAAATTCGGTGCAGTATAAAGATGATTTATTTTGACTCATTCTCTTTCTCTCTTTCGCTGAATGAAAGTGGAACAATTTTTACTCTGTCTCTATAAAGGTTTTTGATAGACGTGTTGCAGAAGACTGAATGAACGTGACGGCAATTTTAGTTACGCGAAACGTTCGATTCATTTATATTCGCATATGCAGATACATACAAATAGATCCGTATTGTCATAAACAAGGGAGAGAATAGATGTTATATCATTGACTAAATACGGGGTAGACTTGACGTTATATGTGATTTTATGTCTTACGCTCTGAAATACCGACCTTGAAAAAATCAAATTATTTCTTACGCCCTCTACGATTTTCCATGGCAAATACAGGAATTACATATATATATGTACGTATCACCATAGAGCATGGTATCATGGACGAGTCCCGTATCTCGTCTGTGATTTTTTAAGCTAGAAAAGAACTGAGAAATACCGACTGAGCAATTTGAACACGTGGATCGATCTGTTAACGTACTGCTCAACTTTGCGAGAAAAGTCGATAAAACAGTGTGAATACTCCAAATATACAAAGATACTACGTATAAATTGAGTCTCGTTAATTGAAATAAAAATTTATGTTCCAAGTAATATAATTCTACCAATTACTTTAAAACATACGATAAATATTGCATACAACAATTTCAATGGGAGAAAGGAATATCATGAAACAGTTGTATATTTTTTTTCAAAATTGTTTTCTTTATTTTGTAGAAAACTGCGTGATAAGTACACCAATAATCTTGCAATGTTGAAATGTTGCCGATTCATACAGGGGGCACGAAGGGGACTGTCCGGAGCAAGTTCTTCCAAGTGAATTACGCTCGTTATTGGTCAACAGTCTTTTAGTTTCATTTTCTAATTTTCGCGCCGCTCCTGGTCCGAACAGCCTCCGAGAGGCCCGGGTTATTGAGTTTTGCCGTTACTAGCAAGCCAGAGCAGTGAACAACGAACATCATTATTTTTTTTTTCTTTCCTATGTGGTACAATTGGTATAATTCTACTGTATAAAAAATCGTTTATTTTGCTCGCGAGTCGGAGACACGTTAGAAGGAAACGCGAGATTCGACGCGTGATCGAGACAATTAATAAAAATAACGAAAGCAGAGAAAAAGAAAAAAAGAAGAGAAAAATGGAGCGTAAGAAGGGACAAGGAGCGTGAAGGCGGATGCTTCGCGCGTCGATTTCGAATCTCGCGCCGCTTCGAGCGTTCTCTACAACGCGGCTGGCGCGACTTTCGAATTACGTAAACCGTTTTTCATACTTTTTTCTTCGAGATGACTCGTTTTTATTTTATGTTATTTTTACTTTACTCTTATTTTTATTTATTTATTCATTTATTTTTTTTTGGTAGAAGCGATCTACTACTTTAAATGACACTGTTTCTACAACATCGATCGATTACCTTGAAAAAAGATTCTCCAATTTCCCACTCGCATATTCTCTTTTTCTCTCTCTCTCCTGCTCGTACATCACGACAACGAAACGATGATTATTCGATTCAAATGACATACGTTGGCTAGTGTGGTTCTTTTTTTCCTGTTACGTCTTTTTTTTTTTAATTAGTTCCTTAATCTTCCAGTTGCACGTGTTTTCATTCTCTCTTTACACGCACGCACGCACGCACGCACGCATCTCCTTTTTTTTCTTTTGGTACCATTGTTCCTACCAAAGATATTAATTAATTTTTCCAACCCATGATCTTTAAATTCTCCCTATTCAAGACCATAAACTTTCCATTCACTCGATTTCTAACGAGTACCAAAAGATCCGCCCCATAAGACACTGCGTCCCCGAGAAACCACGAGACGGTCGAAAATTTTGATTCTCAGATTTGCATCCATATCAGTCTGCGGGTCTGTGTGCATTTATTTATAATATAACTCTCCCGTATCTCGATCTATTATATTTTTTTTCTTTTTTACTTTGATTACCTAATAACGTAAACAAATGAAAAAAGAGGAAGAAGACATAATTTATTATATACCACGGTGAGACACGGATCAAAAACATGAAATGGCTGTCTCGATGTTTCATAGAATTGGGAAATACAGAAACAATGAAAACAGAACAAGATGGATCACCGAGACGCCATATCGATCTATATCTCAAAATTTCTCGCCGTGGTATTTAAGACTAGACACACCAATCTTATCGACAATACGACAATAATTACATCTTCGAGGAAATAACCGATAATCTAACGTCGAATTTCGATAATATGTATAATTCTCGCGCTAGAGAAAATGACGGACGTGGATCGTCCGAGAATTTCCGAACACATCGTTTAATCACAAATCGCGCCTACGTAAAATGGATTGCCCGCCATTTTTCGGGAAAAAATCGATGAAACGACGACAGATCGATTTCATCGTCCGACAGGACGCGCATGGCTTAGCATGACTAGATGGACCGGAAGCGGCCAGGTTGTCGATGAACTTGGCTCAAATACATATTCAATTTGGGACACGCGCGATATCGTTTGGTCGATCAACCTGAACTTCCGTGAAGACGTACACGGAGACGGTGAGGAGAAGACGAACGGGCTTTCGTTCGCTTTGACGCTCAAAAATAGCTTCTTTCATATAAGATTTTTTCTTTCTTTAAGAAAATGTCCTTACTTCCTTTCTAAGCACGGACTAATCAGTACATAGAGTGGCTCATGAAAGTTTGTGTATATATATATATACATATATTTGAACACTTATAGAAACCTTTTACGATCTTTAAAGGTCATAGCATATAAATCGTCCAATAAGTTGGTGCCACGCATCTTTCTTTCTTTGCTATTTCGCATCTTTTTTAAGTATTTATATCATATACTTATAAACCTACGTATCAATGTATGAACGTAGTATAGGAGGACGAGTGTGATGAGTCTGTGATTGTGTGAGAATGGAAATTACGAGTGAACGAGATTGTACGAACGTGCCTCAAGAGTACAAATAGTTCATACAACGTGAAACAGTGGAAATAGAATTACGAATGATGATAAAATAAAAGAATAAGAAGATCTCTGCTAAATATCAGCTGACAGTCGATTTTGGAATATTCAAGACTTTAGACCATTGTATCGATAAACTTTCTGTTTCATCTTACAGATCACGAATTTTGTCCATGTTTACTTAAGATTGTCCTAAGACCGATTTTCAAGATTAAAACGATGGAACACCAGTTTCTCTCTCACAAGCCAAAATAAACGTCGTCTATAACAATTATTACTATACCTTCCTTTACGAAAGTTATACAACGCTGCAGCGTTAATGAAACTTGGAAATGTTTCATGTAACAAACATAATATAACGCACGAAAGTTGCCGAATACTTTCCTGAGCCACTGTAGATAGATTTTTCATCTAAATTTTTCCTAAAGTATAATTGATTCTAACCGATTTATTATCAAGAAGATACGACCATGATTTTAGGGGATATTACCGATCCATAGCCGTAACTTTTCGATTAAATAGCTGCTGTGAACGTCAGAGTATCGATTATCGATCCAGCGAGCTAATCTGTCGAAAGTACGCTGCCAGAAAGCAATCTGCGCAAATGGAAAACGTTTCCTTCGTCTTTTTCGATATCGACAAGATAGCTAGCCCGTCGTCGTTCCACACAGCCTAATTGCCGGTGATTTTCAGCGAAAGGCCACGATAGATCGATCTCGTCGCTCTAGCTGGATCGCCTAATGAAAGCTCGAGCGTCCCATAACGAATTATTAACCCATTAAACATCAAACAATCGCTTGTTCTTTTTTTTTTATAAAATTAAAGACGAACGTATTTTTCTTAGATCTTCTGTATTCCTTTGAAATGATCAAATCGAAATAAAAGATAATGTCGGCGAAATATTAATATCGCAAGCGTTACAAAACGTTGACGTTAAACGTATCGAATGATTTATTAATATTAAAAACAATTTGCGATAATACAAACCGATGGGAAGAAATTGCAAATGATATGTTTCGTCAACACAATTTTCACGCTTAATGGGTTAAAAAGACACCGCGATACACACACCTCGAATTAATTATTAAGAATGCTAAAGTTCAATTAATCAAACTTCCTTTCTTACTTTCGCGTAAATCAAAAAATCACAAATTCGCCTAAACGTTCTTTAATCTAAAACTCCGCTTCGTCGACGGCCCTTAAAAAATTCGATCTAATTCAATAACAATATTCTCTCTCAATTATTTTTTTCTCTTTTTTTTTTTAAATATTTTTTAATCGTTTTAATTTAACCGAGAGTTGCACAAGACCCTTTTTTTTTTTGGATTTAGTCATACCTTTTCGTACCTTTCCCATTTCTTGCACGCTCTGCTCCTCTTTCTCTTGTTCACACGTCCATGTACACACACTCAGGCACACGTACAATCATTCTGTCGCGTCTTCTCGTCGATTGCTCTCTCGTTCAATCGCGAGGGACCGTATATTCTCTCGTTAGTTCGCTGTTGTTCGTTCTTCGCGTGTCTCCCGATTATCTGTTTCTCGTTCCCACTTCTTTCTCTTTCCTTCAACTTCACGCTCTCACTCGTTCGCGCTCGTTTTCTTCCTTTTTTTTTTCTTTTTTTCGAATAACGTTTCATCTTTCTTTCTTTCTTTACATAGAGAAATACGATTAATCTTCATCACCTAATATTGCATGCGCGTGAACACATTTTTCTTTTTATTTTTTTAAATCTTTTCTTTTTTTTCGTTAACGATGGAAAAAAGCTTGCGTCCGTTCGCGGCTTAAAAACCACGAGTGTCGTGTGTAAAACTACCCGGGCATTGTTTTTTGGTTCTCTCCAAACAACTTCTGATTTCATCTGTGAGCACACGTACACGCAGAACGATGTCTGATACGTGTGCACACACAGGACCGACCGACCGACTGTGTACGCTTCTTTCATCGGCATTTGCATTCCTTTTCGCTTCTTCTTCGCTTCCTTTTTTTTTTTTTTTCATTTCAACGCTTACCTATACATATTCGACGCCTAAAACGTGCCTCTTCTACGGTGTTTCTTTTTCGTTTCGTTATTCGCTTCTTTTCTTCAATTCTCATTTCACGTGGGACGGGATCGTTCGAATGTTCGTTTCAATCTCGATGTTTGAAAAATACATGGAATATAATTAATATAGATATATTAATAAATAGAGCGTTTTAGATAGAATATTCGAAGTAACGAGTATACAGGGAATAAAATGGACGAATTTTCTTGAGATACGGTTTCAGAAATTTGGAAAGTTTCGAAAGGAGATTCCTGCGTGTCCTGCGTGAGCCGAGAATCGAAAGGAAAGAGCCGTCGATCATTCGTTTGCAATTTTACCCCTTCGTCGAAACGGTTACCTTTTTTTTTCTTTCTCTTTTTAAAGGATTACAATAATTGGTGACTTCTCATGAGATACTTGAGTAGTTTCGCTCTGTCCCGAGGTCGAGAACCGAAGTCGATACCGCCATTTTGCTCGTCTACACGCCAAATATCGCGTTTAACAAATTCCCTTTACAAATATACATTTTTCATTCCTCCTTTCCTTGGAGGATCCATTCAGTTTATTATTACGCACTGAGATTGCACGCGCGTACAATTTCAGTTTCCAATATAGTTTTATTTCTATCAGATTGCCGTGGTGGTGGTATTGTATTTTTGTATTTGGTAAGAAGATTGTACTTTGTCGAGGTGTCGAAGGCCTTTCTGGTGAATCGTTATTTTATAAGAGAAAATTAGCGTTAGCTGATGCGCAATTGTCTACGTTTGAAAGATAATTTCAATAAAAATACTATTATTTTCTTTCATACTTTACTTTTTCCATTACGTATTCCCTTTTGTCCCTTTATTTCGAGAAAAATATCAAAGTGTGTAAAAAATTACGCTCGTGAGTCTCTTTCGATCGTAGGAAAACGCTAAATTCGCCATACCATTTCACTCTCTCTCTCACTTAAAGCTTCCATGTCACTTTCGTCTTAGCGATTATAACGATTACGAAAGTCTATCTTAAATTAACAATGTCATGGCTATCGAGTAAAAAAATCATTTCGATACCGAGTTTCAAAATCGATAGAAATCTATTTGGTACGTGCAGGTATCCGGGAGCATAGAAAATAATTTTCTTTCTTTCTTTTTTTTCCCCCCATCTCTTTCTCTTTTTCCCTTTACCAAACTTTCCGCCTTTTTTCGAGAAAAAGGTTCTCAGGAACACTGTGTCGATGGCGTATTCCACGGCACGCCCAATTAACCTGTTAACCGGGTTCTCCGTTAATTAGAAATTTGTTTAATCGCGAAACGAAAGGTTAATAAAAATGCGTCGATTTCGTTCAGGTGGATCTTAGTCAGAGGCGGGTCAAAATCTGATGTTCAGATTAGATAGCGAAACTCGAATGAATTTGCTTTGGGCCTTGAGACTCCGAAAAATTGTCAAAACTGAGATCTCGCGACTCTCCAAATTCGAAATGTTTATTTTTTTTTCTTCGATCTCTAAGAAATATTTATCTTACAATTGGTAGGAAGTTAGACAATCTTCCGCGGAAAATCAAATTATTTATCGATGAATTAAAACGAGTTTAAAGGATTTTAAATATAAATTCAATTGGATTATTATTAGTCGAAATAAAATTCGTCTGGAGTTTCGAAGAATTTCGGGGTATCGAGTGTCCCATCTCTAGTTTTAGTCGTTGCAAATGAACGTTACAGAGGAAGAATACGATAAGTCAGCATTTTTCATTTTCTGTACAGGTGGAACGACATTGAAATTTAGTAGGTGGAAAATATTTGGAACAGGAAAAAAAGGCCTAGGTCTCATATTCGAATGTGTAGAAGTTTATTAGTCTACTATGAAATTATTCGTAACAATTTTGAAAAATTTATTTGATTTTGATCGATCTTTAGTCGGTTCTCGTTCGTCAATTTATCAAACAATTACGCGAGCTAATCCTCCTATTTGATTTCAACGGTAAAATTGTCGAATCAGTCGAAACGATAAGTGTCAGATTTTTTTTTAATGTCGATAGATTTAACGTTAAAACCGAACGTGTGTCTTTTTCCTAATTTTCTTATTCAATTAATTTAAAATGTATTTCTTTTCATAATATCAAACTATCGAATACATTACAATATTGCTTTTTAAATAATTAGATATACCTTTGGTATTTCACAAAACTTGATTGGGATCAAGTTGGGGTTAACTTGATCAATCTATTAGCTATTTTTAAGACGCTTACTTTCTTCGTGTTTATCTATGCTATATTAAAATATTAAAATATTAAAATATTAAAATAAAAAGTTCGATAAAAACATATTCAGATTTTCGTCTCTCTCCTATAACGTACTTTTAATAAAAATGATACGAGCGATGATGATGAATAATAAAAATGACACGTGGAGAATAATATCTAAATAGACGAGTTATTTTATCCAACAAATTTGCAATCTGAATGACGAGTGAACTTTCTTTGTTTTCCCCGGTTAATAGGTTAATAGTTAATCGTCTAACGATACACCTAACGCACCATTAGGCATATCTAAATCTAAACAAGTTACCGTAAACCCTAACCGTTCTTTCGAGGCAATCTCCACGGCGATCTAAATGGAAACTTTTATTTGTTTTTTTTTTTTTTTTTTTTTGGCAGTTGAAAGAAAACGGGGAAA